GATCGATCTCGGTTCGCCTTGATAAGCGACATACACATATATCATTGATGTTGTGAAGTGACTGGAGAACAGAATGGGGTTGCGAAAATAGATCAACAGAATTTATTTTTCCTTAGTCATTACTTTGAGTTACGTAAATTCAAACAAGAGAGACATTACAAACGCTTATTCCTGAATTATAAGTTATAACACATCATAAGAAAAGTTCGAGGATGAACGCTCGTGATGCCATTTTAAAATAAATATGCCGTCTTTCGTTATGAAAAGAACAGTGTCGTCTTGGTATCTTCTTATTTTTATAACGACAGTGACAGGACAGTTACAGATCGGGAATGTCAACGTTAAAAAGGAAGGAATCTCCTGGTGTTAGTAATTTTTCTTGGCAATATCAAAATTATGATAAAATGTCTAATATATTTGTGAACTAAACCCCAAATTTTCTCATTAAAGTAAATCTAAAAATTAAATATATATTGTATAAAATATGAAGTGATACACACATATTATAATTATCATCGTATTTAATGAATCGATCAATCGATTTAATGAGGCAGAATTTCGTTATTGTAATCTTATAGTCTTCGTATAACAGTTTTCGCAAACGCAAGCACGAATTCCGCATCGTTAGTCTATTTTTATCGCATATATCATCAACGTTTCATCGACAGTTAAAGAGAACCAGGATATCCTCTATCGCCGTCACATGATATTTCGTGATATTTGCGGTGTAAAAAAAGTCTCGCGACATCGAGCACGTATAAGAACGAATGCCTCTGCGATAAAATGAGCATTCGTGCGCGTATCTAACGAAATTCATCGGCGCTCTCACATGGTCTCGTTCGTCTCGTCGGGTTCCGAGCTTCCGGGGACCCGAGGAACGGAAGGTGTCGATCGATGAGTCGTACGAGAACGGGTCGGTTTCCGCACGACTTGACCGTCACGTGTTATCATTCTTGCGAAGCACACACAGTCTCTGGCATTCGGGTACTCGCTTCACCGTCCTCGTGAATGAAAGACACGGCACACGACAATCAGCCGGTGCGATTTAAACGACTCGATGTTGAACGAAACGGCGCGATCGAGCGGCAGGGCCGTTCGTGCTCGACACGAATTATTGAGCGAGAAACAAAAAAGCCAGGAAATCAGATTTTGGCGATTAACGGCACGAGGTCGCTCGAGTAATTCAAATTATTCAAGTTGTATGTTTTGAATTATAACGCGTTTGACATACGGATATTGTTACGGATAAATTCATTGTTCTATAATATATATTTTTGAAAATTATATACACGTCAAATATATTCATTTTTATATCATTCGTGCGGCATAATTAATATGCAATATACAAATTAAAATATACACAAATATCATTTAATTTTTATAGCGTTCGTGCAGCGTAACTTAATTGATAAAATAAAATATAAAATAAAATAAAGATTGAAAAAATGGAAATGTTATGAAATATCGATGACCTGTGATAACAACGCTTGATGTCCAAGGTCATTATGCTGCAATCGTTAAAGCACATCACAGAGTCGGAAGCGATTATGCAGTTCGACTTATTGATGTAACCGTAGCAATGGTTATGAATGCTACAAATCGTGATGGTAACGATCGTGCCAGGACAGACACCACGTGTCACGAGGGTGTTCTCTCTCTCTCTCTCTCTCTCTCTCTCTCTCTCGCTGTATCTCTCGCTCAAGTATTTGACGATATAATGCCGCGTACGGTTCGATACCGGGCGTCGCGACGCCCGGCAGTCTGCCACTATTCTATCCCATTTCATCCGACGTCATCCCGTCTTAGAACACTTACACGCGTTTCCTTGTCACCCGCACAATACAAACGCTCTTGCGTAGCTCTTTGCGTGCGGCAGTCGCATAGGCGCTATTCTTCGAAAATCAATTCCGGCTCGTCCGGTTAATCGGATCGATGACAATTTTATCGATATTATATGTAATTGTTACCGTGATATTACGAAAAACGGTGTGAGATAATGTTTTATAAAAATTAAAAAATATTATTCAAATATAATGAGATATATATTTTTTGTAAAATTAATTTTATAAAACTTATTAGATTTATATAGCTGCGCGAATATATGTGCGCAGACGTATAAAATTTTGTTGATGATACAATGTTACTTTGAATTCTATTCGAAGTACCGCTATCATTGTATTTCAGATTGCAGATGCAAAACTAGTCGTAGATTCAAAATGTAAGTGCGCCTATGAATGACGACGTCTATGAATAGAAGTCCGGTATGCATTGGCAAGCAAGTTTGAACGACAAGACCGAGTCGGTGGCGACATTAATTTGCCGGATGATTTGGCCCGATTAATGTCGCCAAAGTCTTGAGAGCGTAACGGATATCGTTCTCGTGTTGCAAAAACAGATGGGTGAAAGGAAGAAGGAAATTTCTAAGGTTTCCCTTTACGCGTACATTGCGTAATTAGAGGCAACGACCATTGAAGCACCGATACGTAAACTCACTCGAAACTAATTAGCATTGAAATTTCGCGTAATCGCCGATAATTACAATAATCGATTGCGTGTTGAGGCAAAGCATGGAATACGTCAAGTATGTAATATGCAATATAATCTATTAGAATATAAGTATGCTGCCTTCTAAGCCGGGCAATAGAGCCAAGGAAACGAAACGAAAAATTAATTAAACGGAACTGTATGTCAATTTGAGATCCCAAAGTTCCACATATAAATTAATTTCGAAACTTACATATGGAGAAATAAGCGAGAAAAATATAGGTCCGAAAAGTCGCTTCTTCAGCGATTTTCGGACCTATATTTTTCTCGCTTATTTCTCCATATGTAAGTTAAATTAATTTATATGTGGAACTTTGGGATCTCAAATTGAGATACAGTTCCGTTTAATTAATTTTTCGTTTCGTTTCCTTGGCTCTATTGCCGGCTTAGAAGGCAGCATACTTATATTCTTTATTTGAGAGCCGATAAAATATTTATTTCTGAGATAATCTATTAGCTTTGCGATAATTAAATTCTTAATGCGATAAAAACATAGATATATATTATATATTCGTATTTCTATCTCATTATCGAATTATACAACAATCAAATTAATTCAATTATAATTTTGCGTAATGAAAAAATATTTATTTAAATATCTAATCGGTCTAATCATATTTTTTCAGATTAAGTTTTTCATTCTTTCAAATAGGTTTACTCTGTGTTCAATCAGGAAATGAAAACACGTTTACACGAGATATAATGTGGTAGATTATTTTCAAAAAAAAAAATTTTAATCTTATTCCTGTAAAAATATTAGCTTGATGTATAATGTGTTTATACCTCGCAATATGTGAGAGAGAGAATCTCTGTGATACTCAAAGATATATATATATATATATATATATATATATATATGCGTAAATAAACTTTGAGAACGTGAAATAATCGTAAATTTGCTTACTGGTGTTTTCTTAACGCGAGTTAAAAATATCATTGTACATCGACTGTATCTAAGCAAATCACATCATTCTTGAACGCATGCCTTCCTGTTGGCAAGCAATTTGCTGCCAGCACACTGTTTACGTTTTGATTTATTCATTAACTCTACATTTCCACTCTCTTATTTTCCGATATTATCACAACGAATTCAATCGATTGAACGTCCTTGTTGCCGATTTATGGCATCGTTTATTAATACATTTCTATTATTCAGGAGGAATAGAAGTTCTTAATCTTTAAGTCATTAGAAAGATTTATAATCGGATTTTGCATTCAATATCGGAGACACCAGAATATTCACATCTTCATAATTATTGATGTTTGATCGATTTTGTATTTACAGCATAATTCTAATTTAAATACAACATTATTTTCTCAATACGTTCAATTAAATAAAAAATCAATTATAAATCAATTAGAATTAATTTAATTTCAATATTAAATTTAAAAGAATTTTTATTTCCAATATAGCGGATTAGTTATAAATATCATATCAGTACTATTTTAGCCATTTATTTTTCTCTAACAATCTACCAATCAACGCTGTCAAATATAAAAAAAAAAAAAGATTTGAGTTTTCGTGACGTAAGTTTCACGTAACCAAACGTCAAGGGTTGTCGCTCATCACGAAAGTAACCCCCAATCGAGCAGGGAGTTGTCCGCCGAGACAGGACAGCCGGACGAGCTTTTTTTTCGCGAGACTTCAATCATTATCAACGTGAAACCGGCGCGACAGAGGCGGAATGGATTTCACGTAACACATAAAGGGTGGAGATGCGATAGATAAAGCAAACTGTTTACGAGACGAACGATTTCGCGGAAGAAGTTGAAGGCTTCATGGAACGGGGAAAAGCGTAGAAATGCCGATAACGAGCGTCGACTATGAAGAACCGATCAATACCGCTGTTTCGGGAAGTCTATGCCGCCTATGATCGTTTTTTTCTTCTCTTTTTTTTCTTTCTCCCCCTTTCCGGTCTTTTTGGAATCAGCACGATGAAGGATTTTAGTTTCTTCGAAAGCTGTTTGTGTGTGATTACCCCCTGTTAAATTTCTTCGTCAATGAACATAATCAGAGATAAGCTCCGATAATCGAAAAGAAGAAATATATAAAATGTAATAATAATAATTGGTCAACGAAACAAAAAATCCTTTCGTGAGAAGTTTTACTCCAATAAAGCAAAAGTGTTTAATCGACTTATATATTGTTAGTACAAGAGCGAAAGTTTCGAAATGAGATAAGGTTTCCGATATAATTGCATTATTAAAATGTCTCATTAGCATACGATACGTATAAGTAAGAAAATATTTTATAAGAGATCATTTAATTTTAATTTGTTATCGAATTTTTCTAATTTTTGCGTTAAAACTTCTAACATCTTCATTTCGACTGCAATAATTCATTCTATCATTAATATTCTCATTTCTAAAATTTAAAAGCTCACTGTTTTAATATTACGTATAATGTGTAACATAGAATGTCTCTTGGATTAACATGTAATAATTAATTGTTTCAGTGTCTGGAACGACGAATAAGAAAGAGGAAGAGACGGCGGTATCTTCGGCCACAGAAGAAACTACAGTGAGTCTGAGCACGAAACTCAGAACAGGAAACGATCCTGAAAATATAGACTTATTGGCAGCGCTGCAGCTGCACAATACTACTCGGCAGGGTGTTTCAAAGGTGCCGGGTCTGGTTAGGCTGAAACCAGCTTATTACCTTCAGGGTGAGTCAACTTTTCTCGACATTTTCGGTCTCGCATCTAAGTCTCTTTTTATCTACGATATTTCCGCGATCTTTAATTATCGCTTAGATAATAGCAAAAATTTCTTGACCATTGCGAAACAGCACTGTTAGCTATTAATCAATAATTAATCAAGAAATTTTTATTTTCTGCAGAAAAAATTAATCAATAATAATCAAATATAGTATCATTTTTGTTTCTTCTTTTACAAACTCTCATCCAATTCTTTGGAAATTATTTAGTATCTTAATAAATTTTGCACGCGCAATTCTGCGATTATTAAGGTCTTGACATTTTAATATTTAATTATATCGTACCATAATGATAGGAAATTGATGGTACGCTTTTGCGGTTACACTTATTGTGTCATATATAGACGTGTAGCAGGAAATAAAGCCTTTTACATGATTCGCATTTCTTCTGAGCTGCGATATATATGTTACGCGATAAATCGTACACAAAGCTGCCACTTCGGTAATGCTCTCTTAACCCAAATACTGTTTTATTTGCATACCACCGGGTCGTACTTTATGCAAGCGATCCTCCTTTCGCTCCTCGTATAATACACGCTGCAATTATTATGTCTTGTAAAGACGATGATTACGTTCTCTATATGATCCATGAAACTCTTCGCGTCACGAAATTCACTCTTTGAGAATTTCAGTCGGAAATAATGACATAAATAACATACGAAATAAATCTTTGGAAGTGAATTATTCCGGAATAAAAATGCTCTTATCAAAGAAATTTGACGAATTAATGTTATAACGTGTAATGTTGTATATTACGATAATATGTCAAATATGTAAATATTTATGATTTCTAAATACATTTTATGTATTTTTAATTTATTGCCACGCAATATATCGTAACAGATTCTACGAACAATTTACACAGCTTACATAATCTTGCTTTAAAATTACATTTTCTTGAAAAAAAAAAAAAGTAAACTAAAATATACATTGCGATAACTTTCATTGAATGCATGTGCGCGCCTCTCATTATACAATACCGGTTATGCAACGTGCGATTAATCGATATTACGAAAGGTCAGTTTGATAGCACCGCCTACGTGTCGTCTCTGCTCACAGACGAGAGGGTATTCCCCTATGGTGCGAGTATCGATTGTTCCTCTGAATTTCGGAAAGTGTCGTTGGTTTCGCAATATTTTCGACGCGATAGTTTTGTTAAAAGACATACAATACGGAGATGAAACGCAGGATAAATATAATACCCATCAACCTCTCGTCCTATACACTTCGCCTTTGCACGCGACACAGGATACGGCACTTCCTGAAATTGATCGCATTCGAAAGGAGTTAAACGACGTTTCTGTTAAATAAGCGACCCTTCGTACTATCGGCGAGCCAGGCGTCTCTTCAACCCCGTGTAACATGGTGTATCCAATTATACCGGAGCAACCCCCCGACGGCGGGTGGTGTACAAGCCACATGGGTGTGTGGGCGGCAGTGCAACGGCCGCGAGAAGCGGGCTTGGACGGACGAGGGTTGAAGTTGGGCCGCCGTATATATATATATAATATATATTTATATATATATATATATATATATACAGTACCCTCCATAAGTTTGGAAACCCCTTACATTTAACAGTTAAAGAATTGCAGCGATTTGTTATAAATAAAAATGTCAAAGGAGGATCCTTTTGACAGATCTGTGCTGATTTTTTGTATAAATAAATCATAAAATAAACGTAAAATATTTCAATGACATTTTTATTTATAACAAACTGCTGCAATTCTTTAACTGTTATTATATATATATATATATATATATATATATATATATATATATATACAGTACCCTCCATAAGTTTGGAAACCCCTTACATTTAACAGTTAAAGAATTGCAGCGATTTGTTATAAATAAAAATGTCAAAAGAGGATCCTTTTGACAGATCTGTGCTGATTTTTTGTATGAATAAATCATAAAATAAACGTAAAATATTTCAATGACATTTTTATTTATAACAAATCGCTGCAATTCTTTAACTGTTATTATATATATATACAGTACCTTCCATAAGTTTGGAAACCCCTTACATTTAACAGTTAAAGAATTGCAGCGATTTGTTATAAATAAAAATGTCATTGAAATATTTTACGTTTATTTTATGGTTTATTTATACAAAAAATCAGCACAGATCTGTCAAAAGAATCCTCTTAATTTTGAGAGAAAAATTCTTTGAAGAAATATTCTTTGATTAGATATTCGTAACGTGCAAGAATATAAACTTAATGGGATTTTTTATCATTGTATCCTTTGAAATATTATTAATCGTGATAACAAAAAAAACAGTCTTATAAATGAACATTTGTTATTTGTTGCATACAGTACCCTTCACAAGTTTGGAAACACTTAACATTTGACAGTTAAACAATCGCACGCGGCAACGATCTGTCATAAATAACAATATGTTCTTTAAATATTTTACAATTTATTGATACAAAAAAATCTACACAGATCGCTGCCGATACGATTGTTTAACTGTAAAATGTAAGGTGTTTCCAAACTTATGGAGGATACTGTATATGGGGGAGAGATGGGGTTTCCCCGAAAGAAATTTCAATTACACCCCAACGCCCTTTCTCGCAGGTTGCACCCTCGAGGATGCTTTCGGGGAAGTTAGGCGACGGTTCCTCGTGATTCGCAATGTCGGAAATGTGAGGGGGGGAAGGGACGGGGGGGATCCCTTTTTGTGCTCCTCTTATCCTTTGCGAGTCCTTGACGCTTCTGTTCTTCTGCCGTGCGGCCTTCGCGCACCCTCTATTAGATCTCTCTACACTAGAGGCACTAGATATAATTGTAGTAAAGTTTTTCTACTCTGAACTTTATCGCAAATGTTTGTTTTAATTCTCCTCAGCTAACTCAGAAAATGACAAGTGACGAATGTTTGGATGATAGTTTGAAAGTGCTTTCTCTATCTTCGATTAATGAACGAATTGATAATTATATCTTGGTAGAATGTCGAGATTGAAAACGAAAAATATAAAAGTATGATTTGAATCATTTTTTTATTTCATTCAAATTTGAAAAGCGTATTTATAATATAATAGAAAAATTTGAACACAATTTATAATATTGTGATAATTTTAAAATTTAATTAATATTTAATCTAAATGACAAATCGTATCAAATTTTATTTTTGGTGTAAAATTATATTAATCAATTAAACTTGTTAAATTTAACTGCGAAAAATAAACCAATGGCAACGAAAAAATGATTCATTTGCTGTAATTTATTCTCTTTGATATTTTTATCTTTCATCGTCGCGCATTCTCCTGTTTAAGCTGCTCGCCCTGCTTCGATTATTCAGGACATCCAGGGAAGAGAAATTTCTTTGGGATTAGATTTATCTCGTATGAACCGTTAGATCTTTACAGAGATACCCGCTGTAGGATGAAGGGTGAGGATGATATACAGGGACACATGTCAGAATTTCTTCTGAACGTGGAAAATAGGATCTCCCTTTTTATGTTAAATAAGGGATCGTGCACGATCTGATGATTCGATTGAAGATGTGACAAAATTTGTATTAATGTGCACATTTTCGATCGCATCAAATTCGTTGGATTTTTCTTAGATATATTTTTCAATATAAAGCAATTAAAGTAGCAGCAAATTTTTATATCAAATAAATGTGAGTAATGAATTTCACATTTAATTCTTGCGATAGTTCAATATTTATCGAATCGTCTTATAAATATTTTACGACGATATTATAAATTAATCGGATCAATACACGCGAACTTTGTCTCGTGTTTAGACAATAGCTATATTATTGATTGCATGTAATTTTCATAGATTGCTTCGACAAAACGATATCGTTGTATTAATCAATAATCATATGAGAATCCTATCACGATTAATATTAAAAATAAAGAAATATATTAATATAAATTTAACGTATAAGACGGGCAACAAGAGCCAAATCGCGGATGACAATGCGTTATCCTAACGAAACTAAATAATTTTTCGTTAGAATTAAATACCGGTGCACAAGGCACCAAATTTTTACTTGGACACGGCCAAGATTTTAAATATGAAATAATCTCATATTTTGAGATTTAATTTCAATACCCCTTTAACCCCCCTACGGAAAATAAATAAATGAATGCAAGAGAAAAATATAGATCCGAAAATCGCTGAATCGGGAATCGAACCCGAGACCTTTCACTTGCCGGGCGACTGCTCTTCCAGCTGAGCTATTCAGATCCTTTCGATTCTATACTTTTCTCTGTTATATATATTAATGTTGGTAAACAAACGCATTTTTTAAGCCAGCGTGTATCAAATATAAGAGTTTTAACAAGGCTCTGTAATATAAATATAAATTTAACGTATAAGACGGGCAACAAGAGCCAAATCGCGGATGACAATGCGTTATCCTAACGAAACTAAATAATTTTTCGTTAGAATTAAATACCGGTGCACAAGGCACCAAATTTTACTTGGACACGGCCAAGATTTTAAATATGAAATAATCTCATATTTTGAGATTTAATTTCAATACCCCTTTAACCCCCCTACGGAAAATAAATAAATGAATGCAAGAGAAAAATATAGATCCGAAAATCGCTGAATCGGGAATCGAACCCGAGACCTTTCACTTGCCGGGCGACTGCTCTTCCAGCTGAGCTATTCAGATCCTTTCGATTCTATACTTTTCTCTGTTATATATATTAATGTTGGTAAACAAACGCATTTTTTAAGCCAGCGTGTATCAAATATAAGAGTTTTAACAAGGCTCTGTAATATAAATATAAATTTAACGTATAAGACGGGCAACAAGAGCCAAATCGCGGATGACAATGCGTTATCCTAACGAAACTAAATAATTTTTCGTTAGAATTAAATACCGGTGCACAAGGCACCAAATTTTTACTTGGACACGGCCAAGATTTTAAATATGAAATAATCTCATATTTTGAGATTTAATTTCAATACCCCTTTAACCCCCCTACGGAAAATAAATAAATGAATGCAAGAGAAAAATATAGATCCGAAAATCGCTGAATCGGGAATCGAACCCGAGACCTTTCACTTGCCGGGCGACTGCTCTTCCAGCTGAGCTATTCAGATCCTTTCGATTCTATACTTTTCTCTGTTATATATATTAATGTTGGTAAACAAACGCATTTTTTAAGCCAGCGTGTATCAAATATAAGAGTTTTAACAAGGCTCTGTAATATAAATATAAATTTAACGTATAAGACGGGCAACAAGAGCCAAATCGCGGATGACAATGCGTTATCCTAACGAAACTAAATAATTTTTCGTTAGAATTAAATACCGGTGCACAAGGCACCAAATTTTTACTTGGACACGGCCAAGATTTTAAATATGAAATAATCTCATATTTTGAGATTTAATTTCAATACCCCTTTAACCCCCCTACGGAAAATAAATAAATGAATGCAAGAGAAAAATATAGATCCGAAAATCGCTGAATCGGGAATCGAACCCGAGACCTTTCACTTGCCGGGCGACTGCTCTTCCAGCTGAGCTATTCAGATCCTTTCGATTCTATACTTTTCTCTGTTATATATATTAATGTTGGTAAACAAACGCATTTTTTAAGCCAGCGTGTATCAAATATAAGAGTTTTAACAAGGCTCTGTAATATAAATATAAATTTAACGTATAAGACGGGCAACAAGAGCCAAATCGCGGATGACAATGCGTTATCCTAACGAAACTAAATAATTTTTCGTTAGAATTAAATACCGGTGCACAAGGCACCAAATTTTTACTTGGACACGGCCAAGATTTTAAATATGAAATAATCTCATATTTTGAGATTTAATTTCAATACCCCTTTAACCCCCCTACGGAAAATAAATAAATGAATGCAAGAGAAAAATATAGATCCGAAAATCGCTGAATCGGGAATCGAACCCGAGACCTTTCACTTGCCGGGCGACTGCTCTTCCAGCTGAGCTATTCAGATCCTTTCGATTCTATACTTTTCTCTGTTATATATATTAATGTTGGTAAACAAACGCATTTTTTAAGCCAGCGTGTATCAAACATTACCAACATTAATATATATAACAGAGAAAAGTATAGAATCGAAAGGATCTGAATAGCTCAGCTGGAAGAGCAGTCGCCCGGCAAGTGAAAGGTCTCGGGTTCGATTCCCGATTCAGCGATTTTCGGATCTATATTTTTCTCTTGCATTCATTTATTTATTTTCCGTAGGGGGGTTAAAGGGGTATTGAAATTAAATCTCAAAATATGAGATTATTTCATATTTAAAATCTTGGCCGTGTCCAAGTAAAAATTTGGTGCCTTGTGCACCGGTATTTAATTCTAACGAAAAATTATTTAGTTTCGTTAGGATAACGCATTGTCATCCGCGATTTGGCTCTTGTTGCCCGTCTTATACGTTAAATTTATATTTATATTACAGAGCCTTGTTAAAACTCTTATATTTGATACACGCTGGCTTAAAAAATGCGTTTGTTTACCAACATTAATATATATAACAGAGAAAAGTATAGAATCGAAAGGATCTGAATAGCTCAGCTGGAAGAGCAGTCGCCCGGCAAGTGAAAGGTCTCGGGTTCGATTCCCGATTCAGCGATTTTCGGATCTATATTTTTCTCTTGCATTCATTTATTTATTTTCCGTAGGGGGGTTAAAAGGGGTATTGAAATTAAATCTCAAAATATGAGATTATTTCATATTTAAAATCTTGGCCGTGTCCAAGTAAAAATTTGGTGCCTTGTGCACCGGTATTTAATTCTAACGAAAAATTATTTAGTTTCGTTAGGATAACGCATTGTCATCCGCGATTTGGCTCTTGTTGCCCGTCTTATACGTTAAATTTATATTTATATTACAGAGCCTTGTTAAAACTCTTATAAAAGAAATATATTGTTAATTACAATTTAAATAATTCAAAATGATACATTATACGGCCAGTTTGAATATATGTATAATGAAAAAAGAAGACATAAAAATTGTATTTTCGTTCGCTCTTCGAATCTGCTGAAATTTGTGAGAAATTTCGTCAAAACCGGAAAGAAAAAGTAGTTGAACGTTGTTGTAAACATCCCAAACGTTCTCCTTGTTTCCGCAACGTATTAATACACAAAGGGTAAATAATAATCTTAACCCTTAATTACCCCAGGGCAAACGATCGTTTTTCCGCTGTTCGAAACTGCACATCCGGTCTTCTCGTATAGCGAAAATAAAATTTCACGGTCAAATTATGCTTTCTGCCCGTATTAGTTGAAGCGCAAGGGTTGGCTCGTGCGTGGCAATTCACGCGGAACGATTTCGTTCGAGACGAGCGAGCAACGCACGGTAGGGATTATTTTCTCGTCTGGTGTCGGGGCCGACCTTTCTCCTCCGTTACCTATAGACCGATGGTATTGCATTATAATTAAGCGTGCGCGTACGTAATTGCTCGAACGTCGTCGTCGTAGGTGGCGAGACTCCCGCGCAAACGACATCGACGCTTTATTGTCGGCCGAGTGTCTGGTTACTCTGTGAGTACCGGCGGTGCATCTGAAATTCGAGGCGCACTTTATACAGCCGCGAGAAGCCAGTCAGCGGCAGCGAATGTTGCATCTTGCAGTCGTGTAATAAGGTGTCCCTTATTTGGACAGCTCTTTTCCGGAAAAGAAATTAAGCAAAATTCGTTGTCAGAAAAATGACACACTTTTATTTAGCCAACAAATATCTTTTCCGATATAAGAATACTTTTTCTTATAATTTGCAAATTATCATTTGCGGATTTTATATAGTAATGAAGAGTTTAATGATAGATTTGCTTAATATTATCGGGCAATGTTCGTTTTATAAAAAAAATGAAAGATAGGAAATTATAATATATTAATTCTGAAAGAAATAATTTTCTATTGTATATTCGTGATTATGCACAGCTGCAGGATTTCGCGTTTGCACATGTGACACATTACGCGGATCGCTTAATGACGATGATGTTGAAGGCGGGATTGTCGATTGCAATAGCTTAGTTGTGGTGTAATTTGCCAAATGGCCGTATTAATCTATCTAATGGATAGCTACTCAAATAAGCAGCAACCATTCGGACGCGACGTGTTAATTGAATATGCACAAAGTATAGATATGATCGATTTGGCTATCGCGAGTTTCGGTAACAATAAAAGAAAAGGGAAGCAAAGGAATAATTTGTATCCGCGAAATGGAATAGTAACAATGGGAAATATCTAGTAAACTATACAAACTTCTATTCGTTTCTACTACGCGTTCGTTAAATAAGTATAATTTTTTTCAGACTCTATAGATTTATCACGTAAATCATTTTAAATTTTATAACATACGAGGAATTGTTATTCGTGACTCAAACAATTACATATTAATAACAGTAATTATGATTAAATGCCGTGTTGATTTTTATCTTTCCAACTTTTTTAAGAAATCACATTAAGCTTTTTCAGTTTTTTAAAATTTAATATTGCATATAAAAAGATTATATATTTGTGCCAAAGACAAAGAATATTAAAAAGATTAATTATTTATACTGTATTTAACTTATGGTAGTTTACGATTCTGTTATTAGGTCACTCATTTTATTAAAAATTTAATTATCAAATTATTCATTTCGCTTTTGTAATTTTACGAGCAGCAAGTTGAATCTGGAAGTTGCAAACATATTTTCAATTTTTTATTAATTCACATTGCGTTTTCATATTTTTTTTTTTTTACGTCAATACGATTACATAATGGATTCGCAGAATCTTCGACCAAATACTCTCCAAAAATTCGGGGTGGCCTACATCGTCGAGCTCTAATCTGTTCCATAAGTCGATAGTCGAGTTCTCGCATTACTGCAGTTAGCAGATAATTCTGTTCGACTTAACGCACGACATTGAAAGTGTTGTTATATCAAGATAACACGTGGGTGTTTATATACATACATATATACCATCTTATAAATCACATCCGAATATTTTGACTACTTCATAAAGCAGTTAAGTAAAAGCGAGCGAGTTAGTGAATAAATTTTATAATTTTTTTTTTCCAAAAAGAGATGCATGCTTTTGCAAAAAAATATTATATTAATAATTCCTTATACTGAAATTGTTTCCTACACATTACATGAACTGAAGTATACATTCTTTTAACAGATTTCGACGTGAACGAGTCATATATAAATATATGCAACTCCGTTTCCAAGAAACTTACACGTGTATATATCAATTCATCTTATTGCATTATTAAATTTCAATATCACTTCTTTATCTTTGTACGACCAAAGCATACTCCCAGCCATAATATTACGACAAATAATAAATAACAGGCATGTTCTAAATTCGGACTACTTCCCGGGAAGCGGCTTAACTTTACCTGGAGACGACCGGGTTAAAAATTCAAATCAGCTCTGCATCGATTTCAAGACACGGCATGCGACAAGCATTCTCCCTTCTAACTACAAATTGTTAGATTATATTCAACACATTCTAAAATTCTTGACTATCTGATAATTAAAAACAAAGAAATTTCTTTTACTTTTCTCTTTCCATTTTTTTTTATTTCAATATATACTTAATTTTAAATATTCTTATTTTTTTATTGTATATTTATACTCTTTTGTTTTTAATATATTCGGAATACTAGGTGGCGAAAATGAAACTAGCATCAGAAAAATATATTGAACACTGATTCTGTGTAAAACAAAAAAATTGGCGAGTGAAATGCAAGAACTGCGATCGGCCGCGCGTTCCATCTCGCCGCGCTAATCACTGTGTTTTACTACTTTCAGGCGAGGAGAGGGAGCTCCGACTGAACGAGGCGAGCTTCGAACGGGCGGCCGAGTTACTCCGGCGGGTTCCGGAATTCACTATAGCCGCCGCGCTGCGCCAAGATGAGGCCAATTCCGGGACGATCGTCGCCTTTTCGCACGGGAACAATAGGTACGAAAAATACTGGAAAGTTTCTTCCTATCACTCTCCCGCATTATCCCCTTCCCTCACTCGAGATATTCGGCCTCGGTAGACGTCACAAACACTTGTGAGCCCTGACCTATTTCGCGATACAGAATGATACAGCATATAAATCGCAAAAGAAATAAATGCGTATTTCGAATGTATTTTACTTTATAAATTAGAAAATGTTGTGTAAAAAATACGGCAAGATACGTGAGAGATAACTAAAAGAATATTCTTTACGAACAAAATATTTTATTATTAAAATATTTGATTGTTTTATGATGTCATTCTACGTCCTAATATGCAATAATTTTACTGCCGTATCAGCTTTATAATTTAAATAACGATCTCGGCGTTATTCGGTATATGTAACTAGGACAACGAATCATTATTCATTCCGACAGTAAAGCATTTGTCTGTCGAGTAATACGAGTCCCCGTAACGAGATTATTAAGCAACAATTGTACGTAATATGTTATTACATGCATTTCATTTCTCATCTTTTCGCTGGAAACTATCTCTGAACTTTACAGCTTTATTGCGCTGACTACAAAAGAAGTTTATGTCAATAAAAATTGTCGAGCGAGAATGAAAGAGCACTTAACGGCACCCTTCGTTGATACTTTGAAAGTGCAATCTAGCTGTTTTGATTTAGGCGACACAAATTGAATACACTTGTCTTCGTGTACATTACATGACAGTTAACATGTCACAATTACGATTAATTTAAATGATCCAATAAGTTTCTCAAAGACCAATAAGCTTCTTAGAATTTACGTAGCGTACGTAAACACATTTAACAGCAATTGAGTAATTCAATTATTTTGCGATAGATGCAAGGTCAAGCTTTACAATTTTTTTCATCAATATATAATCAGGGATTGAATCATCCTTGATTCATCATTGAATTTCAAAATAATTTTTAATATTGACAATAGAATAATAAATGAGAAACTTTTCAATTATAGATTATAGAAAGATTGTTGTAAAACGATTGTAATAATTGAGTCAGATTGTGCTAAAATACTTACGTAAATATACTCCATACAAGATATAAAAATTACAAGCTGAAATATCCAATTTCAGATTAAATCTCGAAATCTGTAATCGCGATAATGAATAATTTGAAATAAAATGTGCATCAGGTATTTGGAGCTGCAGAGCAGCGGTCGCAAGGACGAGCTTCGACTTCATTACGTATCACGCTGCGACGGAACCGTACACGTCGAGGCGTTTCCTTTTCGACTAGCCGATGGCGCCTGGCACAGGGTCGCCCTGAGCATAAGCGGCTCGCAGGTCGAGCTGCTGGTCGACTGTCATCCCTTATACAGACGACTGCTGAGACCTGGTCCACCCGACACAAATTTTACCCTGCCGCAGCTCCAGCTCTGGGTCGGACAAAGAAATGTCAGGCACTTTCTCTTCAAGGTATAAAGCCGCATATATTTTATTACGATATATACGCCTCTTCCTTTTAATTATTCTATAAATGTAGTGCATAAAGTCAAAAAAATATATTTTTAAAATCACTCAATATACTTTTTTTTTTTAATTTGAAGTAATTTATATTATTCATATATTTTTTTTAATCTAAAATAAAGTTATCCTTACTTTATTACTGTAAAGTTATTATTAGTTCTTGCTTAATTTAATAGAAACATATGTATTATATTCGCAAAGATTTGACGCCCAACTAAACTTTCCCTATGATTTCCGCGCCACAGGGTGCCTTGCAGGATGTCAAGCTAATAGCAGGAGCTCATGGTTACCTTTACCAGTGTCCTCAGCTCGACTCATCTTGCCCCACATGCGGTCAATTTTCAATATTACAGACTACCGTGGAACAACTAATGTTTAATATCAAGGAGTTGACCCATAGAGTGAGTAATTTATATGCCATTTATCAAACTTATGCTGAAGCGATAAGATTCGAGAGTTAATTCAGTACTATAAACTGTTGTGTATACATTATGCAAATTTTATATATATGTATATGTGTGTGTGTAAATGTATTGTCATAATCTCTTTGCATAATTAATTTTATACATAGAATATTTAGAAATCTCAATTTTCTGGGACGCTTCTTTCACGCACATACAAAATCTTGCTACTTGTGTGAATATAAATAACGCAACTTGGTTGTTCATGGACATCCTTCCTTTTAGCTAGCCGCTGCAGAGGGCAGGATAAGCAAAGTGGAGGAGTGCGAGTGCCAAAAGTCCTGTAGGGCGAACGGTACCGTCCACGAGGACGGCGCAACCTGGGAGAAAGGTTGCCAGCAATGTTCCTGCATCCACGGCAGTATTGAGTGTAGACCGCTGTTCTGCGCTCCGGCCAACTGTAAGCATCCTGTCATTCCTAAAGGAGAGTGTTGCCCGACGTGTCTCAGTAAGTAAAATGTCACGTTTCTTTTTCTTTTTTTTTTACTTATATTCCCATTCGCGTCTTTTCTGAATTTTATATAATCACAATGTTTTTAATTTAAAAAAACTATTAAATCTTGATTCATCAAGTTTGATAAGAGTTTCGTATTAACATTTAGGAAACTTATCGTCATTCACTCGGAATACGTCATATCTTATAAATCATTCATATCTCATTATTTTTTTGTATTTGAGGAAAACATATTGTACACTTTTTTTTTACCCGCAAGAAAATAATTTTCTCATTCTAATATAGCGTCGTTCCTACGCGCGAATCCACTTTTTCGCTTTCACGCACGCAACTGGCTGATTAGTTGACGTAGCATGTTGACCGTCGACCGCGCTTCTTATGCCTCACGTTTACTTATCTCGTTATTCATATTCTCGTTCGCTTTGCCAGAACAATGCCTCATGTTTGACGTAATATACGATCATGGCGAGAAGGTCTCGCCGAAACAGTGCATGGAGTGCAACTGCTTCGACGGTAGCTTCAGCTGCGACAAGTTGAAGACTGAAGTCGTTTGCCCACCACTGCCGTGCCCACCTAGCGAGCAAATCAGCGTGGCGGAGGAATGCTGCAAATTTTGTCCAGGTAGATTCCCGTTTGGAAAATACAAAATTCTAACGTTCTGAAATTCATGATACACTTTCGAAAAGAAATGATAATTTTTCCATCTAATATTTCAAATCTGCACGAAAATTTAACGATTGGCTCGATTCTCGAGAGACAGTTGATGATTTTATCAAGTGTTTTTTTTTTCAATGTCATATTACATTTTTATTATAAGCGTTATATAAAATTTTTTATGCCATCAGACGTTGAACAAATATAACTTCAACATAGCATGTATTATAATAACAGAAAATTGAAAAACGGCAAGCATGAAAAAAAATTAAGTTTTGCGACCGAAACAGCAAGAAATGAAGCATAGTTGACATAGCGCATTAACTTTAATTAACTTTAATTAACTCTCTCATGCATGGAATAATTTTCTTCGCCGACAATTTCAAGCCTTTTTTCTTTCTGCTAACATTGAATTAATGTATATGCATTCATATATGAATTTACTGTTCGATATTAAGAGAAATATAACTGTTATAGAAAGCACGCAGAAAAGAACAATGATAATTACTTAATGAATACGGCAATTATAAATCATAAAATTATGAAATATATACACATGTGCGCCATGTGCGATATTTATATTAGCTTAAGTGCATAATGAGATAATTTTAGCTCAGAGAGTTTGCTACTCTCTCCATCACTAATTAATTAATTGCATTCTCCATTACGCATGGGAGGGTTATCGATGTCAAAGTCGAACAGTCTTCTCACTAAAACCTCTGGATCGTTAATTACATCTTCTAACCATCTTCCGTATTTGCATGGCTAACCCAATTTAACCAGGGGTGGATTACTGCGCGAAGGGCCACAAGTGTCACGCTAACGCGTCCTGCCTGAATCTCCAGACGACTTACGCCTGCCAGTGCGATATCGGTTTCCAAGGGGATGGTTATAAATGTCACGGTACCTATAACGCTTAATTAACTTACTAACTTACTCATCCAATTAATCGCGCGTGAAAAATGTCCGTCTATACGTCGGACTTACCCTCGCGCAAGAAGCACGCGCAAATTTAATGCTTTGAAATCAATTCCTATCTCAATTAATTCTTTAAATCGAAGAGATCTAATTTTCCCTTATTGTATATAAATATTCTTGGAGTGTAAATTGACGGCGCAAATATTTATACGTGAATTGCGCGGTAATCACGCTTTATTTCTCAATAATAATTTCCTTTTCGTTCAGATGTGGACGAGTGCCAGCAGCAAGGTGGATCAAACGGCCATCACTGTCACGACAACACGAAATGCGTCAACACAATCGGCTCTTATACGTGCGAGTGTCTTCCGGGTTACCGTAGAGTCGACAAGTTCAATTGCGCCGAGCTGGACGAGTGTACGACCGGTCATCATCAGTGTAATGAGCACGCCACATGCGTGAACACTGCCGGCAGCTACTACTGCATCTGCAAGGATGGTTATACCGGGGACGGTTATACGTGTAAACGTACAGTATCGTCTTTTACGTCTCGATAATCGATGTTTTAGTCAACAATTTCTTAATATTTTTAGTGCAACGAATTCCGACATTTCTCGTCGAGAAATATATGTTATTAGATAAATTTTAGATTGTTAAATAAAGAAGCAAATTGATAAAGGAGATAATTTTTTTATTACTTATGTTAATATTTATTTATGTTTATTGAGAGAGATAAAATATGGAAATATATACATATAAATATATACATATAAATATATACATATAAATATATACATATAAATATATACATATAATATATATATATATATATATATATATAAATATATATTTACATTTTTATATAAATAAATTTATATGCTTTTCGAGCGCGCGCTGCACTATTTGTAGAGTAAATAAAATATATTTCTCTTTATTAAAGAACTTTATGCCTTTGGAAATAGTAAACGATTCGCATGTACATCTTCTTTAAGAACGTTTGTATTCCGGATGGGTGTGTGCACAAACGTGATCGTAACAATATTCCTATCACATCGATAAATAAAGCGATAAAAGAAGATTTACTGAAGCGAGGAACGTTTATTTCTTCTCGTTCCAATCCGCAAAGATTGAGAGAAGCGAAAAATCAAAAAGATATTTCCATCGTTCTTTTTAAAGAGACGATTGATCAACTCTTTTATTTTTAGAAAAAAAAAGAAAAAAAAAGAGAAATTATTTACACACTGCGACGTAGTTTTTAAATTTATAATAATAAAAAATTGCGTAAAATCTCTATATTAAAAGTAGAAAAAAGATTTTAGTTTGAATTAAAAAGGTAAGATTTTTTTTAGTCGCAATTCTTTTATTTTTTAAATAAAAAGATTCTGAATCGAAATTAAATCGAACAATTTTTGTTTCCTACAGCCGTGTGCAATCAGACCTGTCAGAATGGCGGCGAGTGCGTGGCACCCGGGAGATGCTCCTGTCGACGCGGCTACATCGGCAACAGCTGTGAGCTCGACTTGGACGAGTGCGCCAGCGATCTTCATCGGTGTCATCAATCGTCCACGTGCTTCAATATGCCCGGTTGGTACTATTGCCGTTGCAAACCGGGCTACAGGAGCGCCCTGCACGACAGCACCCAGGGCACGCAGTGCCTCGACATCGACGAATGCAACGACCTGACGATAGAGAGGAGGCACACGTGTCATCCCACCGCGAAATGCGTCAACACCGAGGGCGGCTATGAGTGCGTATGCCCGGCGAAGAGCCTGGAAGAGTCTGGAGAGGAGTGCAGACTCAGTGAGTTGCATTATTCGTCGTCTCTTGGGACAAAATGATCTCCAACATTGTATCGCGAAAAAAAAAGATTACTATATATATTGTCGCATTTATAGGTTGTTGGTTCAAAAATCAAGAAGTCAGCAATGGCGAGAGCTGGACGCAGGAGGAAAATTCTTGCAGGACATGCACGTGTCAAGATGGCGTGGTCACTTGCAAGGACCTCATATGTGATTGCAGCGCACCGGGAAGTCATAGGAACAAGTGTTGTCCTCAGTGTAATCCTGCGGCGTCCTGCAGGCATCAAGAGCTTCATCACCTAGTCTTCAGAAGCGGAGAACGTTGGATATACCAGTGTCAGACTTGCGAGTGCCTGGTAACGAATCCTATCCAACTCGCGATAAAATGAACAATCAATATAAGAGTTTTAACAAGGCTCCGTAATATAAATATAAATTTAACGTATAAGACGGGCAACAAGAGCCAAATCGCGGATGACAATGCGTTATCCTAACGAAACTAAATAATTTTCCGTTAGAATTAAATACCGGTGCACAAGGCACCAAATTTTACTTGGACACGGCCAAGATTTTAAAATATGAAATAATCTCATATTTGAGATTTAATTTCAATACCCCCTTTAACCCCCCCCCCCCACGGAAAATAAATAAATGAATGCAAGAGAAAAATATAGATCCGAAAATCGCTGAATCGGGAATCGAACCCGAGACCTTTCGCTTGCCGGGCGACTGCTCTTCCAGCTGAGCTATTCAGATCCTTTCGATTCTATACTTTTCTCTGTTATATATATTAATGTTGGTAAACAAACGCATTTTTAAGCCAGCGTGTATCAATATAAGAGTTTTAACAAGGCTCCGTAATATAAATATAAATTTAACGTATAAGACGGGCAACAAGAGCCAAATCGCGGATGACAATGCGTTATCCTAACGAAACTAAATAATTTTCCGTTAGAATTAAATACCGGTGCACAAGGCACCAAATTTTACTTGGACACGGCCAAGATTTTAAAATATGAAATAATCTCATATTTGAGATTTAATTTCAATACCCCCTTTAACCCCCCCCCCCACGGAAAATAAATAAATGAATGCAAGAGAAAAATATAGATCCGAAAATCGCTGAATCGGGAATCGAACCCGAGACCTTTCGCTTGCCGGGCGACTGCTCTTCCAGCTGAGCTATTCAGATCCTTTCGATTCTATACTTTTCTCTGTTATATATATTAATGTTGGTAAACAAACGCATTTTTAAGCCAGCGTGTATCAATATAAGAGTTTTAACAAGGCTCCGTAATATAAATATAAATTTAACGTATAAGACGGGCAACAAGAGCCAAATCGCGGATGACAATGCGTTATCCTAACGAAACTAAATAATTTTCCGTTAGAATTAAATACCGGTGCACAAGGCACCAAATTTTACTTGGACACGGCCAAGATTTTAAAATATGAAATAATCTCATATTTGAGATTTAATTTCAATACCCCCTTTAACCCCCCCCCCCCACGGAAAATAAATAAATGAATGCAAGAGAAAAATATAGATCCGAAAATCGCTGAATCGGGAATCGAACCCGAGACCTTTCGCTTGCCGGGCGACTGCTCTTCCAGCTGAGCTATTCAGATCCTTTCGATTCTATACTTTTCTCTGTTATATATATTAATGTTGGTAAACAAACGCATTTTTAAGCCAGCGTGTATCAATATAAGAGTTTTAACAAGGCTCCGTAATATAAATATAAATTTAACGTATAAGACGGGCAACAAGAGCCAAATCGCGGATGACAATGCGTTATCCTAACGAAACTAAATAATTTTCCGTTAGAATTAAATACCGGTGCACAAGGCACCAAATTTTACTTGGACACGGCCAAGATTTTAAAATATGAAATAATCTCATATTTGAGATTTAATTTCAATACCCCCTTTAACCCCCCCCCCCACGGAAAATAAATAAATGAATGCAAGAGAAAAATATAGATCCGAAAATCGCTGAATCGGGAATCGAACCCGAGACCTTTCGCTTGCCGGGCGACTGCTCTTCCAGCTGAGCTATTCAGATCCTTTCGATTCTATACTTTTCTCTGTTATATATATTAATGTTGGTAAACAAACGCATTTTTAAGCCAGCGTGTATCAATATAAGAGTTTTAACAAGGCTCCGTAATATAAATATAAATTTAACGTATAAGACGGGCAACAAGAGCCAAATCGCGGATGACAATGCGTTATCCTAACGAAACTAAATAATTTTCCGTTAGAATTAAATACCGGTGCACAACGCACCAAATTTTACTTGGACACGGCCAAGATTTTAAAATATGAAATAATCTCATATTTGAGATTTAATTTCAATACCCCTTTAACCCCCCCCCCCACGGAAAATAAATAAATGAATGCAAGAGAAAAATATAGATCCGAAAATCGCTGAATCGGGAATCGAACCCGAGACCTTTCGCTTGCCGGGCGACTGCTCTTCCAGCTGAGCTATTCAGATCCTTTCGATTCTATACTTTTCTCTGTTATATATATTAATGTTGGTAAACAAACGCATTTTTAAGCCAGCGTGTATCAATATAAGAGTTTTAACAAGGCTCCGTAATATAAATATAAATTTAACGTATAAGACGGGCAACAAGAGCCAAATCGCGGATGACAATGCGTTATCCTAACGAAACTAAATAATTTTCCGTTAGAATTAAATACCGGTGCACAAGGCACCAAATTTTACTTGGACACGGCCAAGATTTTAAAATATGAAATAATCTCATATTTGAGATTTAATTTCAATACCCCCTTTAACCCCCCCCCCCACGGAAAATAAATAAATGAATGCAAGAGAAATATATATATAACAGAGAAAAGTATAGAATCGAAAGGATCTGAATAGCTCAGCTGGAAGAGCAGTCGCCCGGCAAGCGAAAGGTCTCGGGTTCGATTCCCGATTCAGCGATTTTCGGATCTATATTTTTCTCTTGCATTCATTTATTTATTTTCCGTGGGGGGGGGGGTTAAAGGGGGTATTGAAATTAAATCTCAAATATGAGATTATTTCATATTTTAAAATCTTGGCCGTGTCCAAGTAAAATTTGGTGCCTTGTGCACCGGTATTTAATTCTAACGGAAAATTATTTAGTTTCGTTAGGATAACGCATTGTCATCCGCGATTTGGCTCTTGTTGCCCGTCTTATACGTTAAATTTATATTTATATTACGGAGCCTTGTTAAAACTCTTATATTGATACACGCTGGCTTAAAAATGCGTTTGTTTACCAACATTAATATATATAACAGAGAAAAGTATAGAATCGAAAGGATCTGAATAGCTCAGCTGGAAGAGCAGTCGCCCGGCAAGCGAAAGGTCTCGGGTTCGATTCCCGATTCAGCGATTTTCGGATCTATATTTTTCTCTTGCATTCATTTATTTATTTTCCGTGGGGGGGGGGGTTAAAGGGGGTATTGAAATTAAATCTCAAATATGAGATTATTTCATATTTTAAAATCTTGGCCGTGTCCAAGTAAAATTTGGTGCCTTGTGCACCGGTATTTAATTCTAACGGAAAATTATTTAGTTTCGTTAGGATAACGCATTGTCATCCGCGATTTGGCTCTTGTTGCCCGTCTTATACGTTAAATTTATATTTATATTACGGAGCCTTGTTAAAACTCTTATATTGATACACGCTGGCTTAAAAATGCGTTTGTTTACCAACATTAATATATATAACAGAGAAAAGTATAGAATCGAAAGGATCTGAATAGCTCAGCTGGAAGAGCAGTCGCCCGGCAAGCGAAAGGTCTCGGGTTCGATTCCCGATTCAGCGATTTTCGGATCTATATTTTTCTCTTGCATTCATTTATTTATTTTCCGTGGGGGGGGGGGTTAAAGGGGTATTGAAATTAAATCTCAAATATGAGATTATTTCATATTTTAAAATCTTGGCCGTGTCCAAGTAAAATTTGGTGCCTTGTGCACCGGTATTTAATTCTAACGGAAAATTATTTAGTTTCGTTAGGATAACGCATTGTCATCCGCGATTTGGCTCTTGTTGCCCGTCTTATACGTTAAATTTATATTTATATTACGGAGCCTTGTTAAAACTCTTATATTGATACACGCTGGCTTAAAAATGCGTTTGTTTACCAACATTAATATATATAACAGAGAAAAGTATAGAATCGAAAGGATCTGAATAGCTCAGCTGGAAGAGCAGTCGCCCGGCAAGCGAAAGGTCTCGGGTTCGATTCCCGATTCAGCGATTTTCGGATCTATATTTTTCTCTTGCATTCATTTATTTATTTTCCGTGGGGGGGGGGGGTTAAAGGGGGTATTGAAATTAAATCTCAAATATGAGATTATTTCATATTTTAAAATCTTGGCCGTGTCCAAGTAAAATTTGGTGCCTTGTGCACCGGTATTTAATTCTAACGGAAAATTATTTAGTTTCGTTAGGATAACGCATTGTCATCCGCGATTTGGCTCTTGTTGCCCGTCTTATACGTTAAATTTATATTTATATTACGGAGCCTTGTTAAAACTCTTATATTGATACACGCTGGCTTAAAAATGCGTTTGTTTACCAACATTAATATATATAACAGAGAAAAGTATAGAATCGAAAGGATCTGAATAGCTCAGCTGGAAGAGCAGTCGCCCGGCAAGCGAAAGGTCTCGGGTTCGATTCCCGATTCAGCGATTTTCGGATCTATATTTTTCTCTTGCATTCATTTATTTATTTTCCGTGGGGGGGGGGGGTTTAAAGGGGGTATTGAAATTAAATCTCAAATATGAGATTATTTCATATTTTAAAATCTTGGCCGTGTCCAAGTAAAATTTGGTGCCTTGTGCACCGGTATTTAATTCTAACGGAAAATTATTTAGTTTCGTTAGGATAACGCATTGTCATCCGCGATTTGGCTCTTGTTGCCCGTCTTATACGTTAAATTTATATTTATATTACGGAGCCTTGTTAAAACTCTTATATTGATACACGCTGGCTTAAAAATGCGTTTGTTTACCAACATTAATATATATAACAGAGAAAAGTATAGAATCGAAAGGATCTGAATAGCTCAGCTGGAAGAGCAGTCGCCCGGCAAGCGAAAGGTCTCGGGTTCGATTCCCGATTCAGCGATTTTCGGATCTATATTTTTCTCTTGCATTCATTTATTTATTTTCCGTGGGGGGGGGGGGTTAAAGGGGGTATTGAAATTAAATCTCAAATATGAGATTATTTCATATTTTAAAATCTTGGCCGTGTCCAAGTAAAATTTGGTGCCTTGTGCACCGGTATTTAATTCTAACGGAAAATTATTTAGTTTCGTTAGGATAACGCATTGTCATCCGCGATTT